TCTACCGTCTCCCCTAAATGTATTTTATTTTATATTTACAAACCATCTCCACTTCCTGTATTTTATTTTATATTTTACTACCGTCTCCGCTAGCTGTATTGTATTTTTTAATTCTAAAACCATCTACACTTCCTGAATTTTTTAAAATATTTTCCAACCGTCTCCACTAGTTGTATTGTCTTTTCTCTTTTAAAGCCGTCTGCATTTCCTGTAATTTTTTTTCTATTTTACAACCATCTCCCCTAACTGTATTATATTTTCTATTTTCATACCGTCTCCACTAGCTGTATTTTATTTTATATTTTCAAACCGTCTCCACTAGCTGTATTTTATTTTATATTTTCAAACCGTCTCCACAACTCTATATTTTATTTTATATTTTCAAACCGTCTCCACAACTCTATATTTTATTTTATATTTTCAAACCGTCTCCACTACCTGTATTTTATTTTATATTTACAAACCATCTGCACTTCTTGTATTTTATTTTATATTTTCCAGCCGTCTCAAATAGCTGTATTTTTTTTTCCTTTTTCTAACCGTCTCCACTTCCTATGTTTTATTTTATATTTTAAAACGGTCTCCATTTCCTGTATTTTATGTTATATTTACAAACCATCTCCACTACCTGTCTTTTATTATTTATTTTAAAACCGTCTCCACTAGCAGTATTTTATTATATATTTTTGAATCATCTCCCCTAGCCATATTTTATTTTTTTATTTTACAACCGTCTCCACTAGCTGTATTTTATTTTTCATTTTAAAACCGTCTCCACTACCTGTATTTTATTTTATATTTTCAAACCGTCTGCACTACATGTATTTTATTTTATATTTTCAAACCGTCTCCACTAGCTGTATTTTATTTTATATTTTCAAACCGTCTCCACTAGCTGTATTTTATTTTATATTTTCATACCGTCTCCACTATCTGTATTTGATTTTATATTTTCAAACTGTCTCCACTAGCTGTATTTTATTTTATATTTTCAAACCGCCTCGACTAGCTGTATTTTATTTTATATTTTCAAACTGTCTCGACTAGCTGTATTTTATTTTATATTTTCAAACCGTCTCCACTACCTGTATTTTATTTTATATTTTCAAACCGTCTGCACTACATGTATTTTATTTTATATTTTCAAACCGTCTCCACTAGCTGTATTTTATTTTATATTTTCAAACCGTCTCCACTAGCTGTATTTTATTTTATATTTTCAAACCGTCTCCACTACCTGTATTTTATTTTATATTTTCAAACCGTCTTGACTAGCTGTATTTTATTTTATATTTTCAAACCGTCTTGACTAGCTGTATTTTATTTTATATTTTCAAACCGTCTCCACCACTAGCTGTATTTTAATTTTTATTTTAGTACCGTCTCCACTAGCAGTATTTTATTTTATATTTACAAACCATCTCCACTTCCTGATTTTATTTTATATTTACAAACCATCTCCACTTTCTGTATT